TGATGGAGAACCAGACAAGATATACTGTGGTGCTGATAAGTAGATGGGAGTCAGCTACATAGGTGAGGTGAATGAGCTGTAAGTATGACTCAGCCCTGACAGTGCAAGGAGCTAAACACACCCACACCACACCACTTACAAATAGAGACAAATAAGAGTGTTTAAGTGTTGTAAAGAGCATTAAGATGGTCAGAAAAGTGCTTGTTCAGTCATCACACATTCTATAACCACTCGCAATGTTTTTTACCTTATTGTGGGGTGGAAAAACTTAAATCATCATCAAACATTAAATCAATAGAAAATCAGATTAAAAAAAGACATCACAAAAGTGGTTACTGACAATTACAGTAAACAAAATCAACTTCTTGTCTTGTTCTTTTTCTGTCAGCTTCTCCCCACTCGCTGTCTCTCCATTGCTCTCTCATCCATGCCTACTTTCTTCCCATATCTCTGATGGTGTAGTGTCTCAGTATGTATCCCTCCGTCTTACAGCCAAGGTGGAATGGAGGGTTTGAGATGATAACAGTAATCATACTCCCCTACCTCAAGACCCAGACACTGGCATCTTATCCCCCCACACACATAGGCAGACACAGAAACGGAAATTAATTATACTAATCAGAAAGCAGGCTCAGGTGGACCATCAATAGCATTCTAAGTTTTTTTTGGACATAAATGGATGCAAAACTTTATAACAGCATACAAAGTGATTGCAGAAGAAGTAATGCAGCAGTGGCTGAAATGTGAAGGGATGAAGTTATGAAAATGGATCTGTGAATGCTTGTGTTTTTAGATGTCTGCTTTTGTGTAACTTTTGTATATGAGGCTTGTTTAACTCTGAAGATAAAATATTCCTACTTTGGAAGCTGGGCTGCAGGCTATTTGCTTGATTTGATCACAAATAGTGCATGAAATTACACAACTAATTTTCAATTTGGAGTACTTTATTCGGTGGTAACGCCCACTCTCCCTCATTAAGCTTCACCCACTATTTATAACGCAACATCTGCTTTTGCATTAGTATTCCTTAGCCTCTCACACATAGAAACACAAATACATGCAATACATAGATACACTGAGTGTATAACACTTTCCAAAGAGTGGCGTATGTGTGTGTATGTGTGTTTTATTTGTTCCTAATTCAGAAACCCTGAGAAGCAAGGTGGACTTATTATTATTTTTAAACTAATTGGTTAGATATGTCTACTCTAAGGTGATTGTATCTTTCTTCACCTTTTCCACAGTTCACACTGAATCCTCCATCACCTTGTATGGCTTATTAACATGCAAACGTATGGCTTTAGGAACTAGCCTCCTGAGGGTGTGAAACATTAGGAGTCAGGGCCCTCTGATCGCAGGTCATGAATCTTTGTAATTGCAGGGAGAGTGTGTGTTATTGTAAAAAGTGTGCCTTTGATAAATAAAACTGAGACATTAATGAGTTCAGGCAAAAAATACAAGTTTTCTTAAATTACTGAATAAACATTTTGCTAGCATTGCAACGGTACAAGATCAAAATGATGTTAGTAGGTATCACAGTATCTTTAAAACACCTAGGAGACTGGAGTTCACAGTGGTATGGTGTTGCAAATCAGGCTTAGTTCAGTCTGGCTGCTTTCAGACTTTGAGAAAAGGCTTACCTATATTGGCATTGAGTGATTTGATTTATCCCGGGCTGCAGAGCTGGTATTTGTTTGATCCAAGGACTTCAGAAATAAAGCTTTTGTAGAGCTGGCCAGAGAGGTCAGAAGGATCTTTCTGTATCATTAAGGGAACCCAAGGGACTCTTACCTGCCATGTTGGTATTAAGTTGTTAACAAGGCTGTGGTAGTCTGTGTCAACAAATTCAAATATGAATGCTCAGGTAATTTTTAAATGTCAGCAGCTGTATGTTATGTTTTGTGCTTGTTTGTGTGCATGAGAAAGAGAGAGAAAAAGTGAGCGTATTGAACAGTTCCAGCCCCTGAGGAGTCACGTCTAGTGTAAGGAGTCTGCCCTTTCCCTAATTAGCTTGAAACATCTGTCCAGGCGGCTGCCAGAGGGAGGTTATAATGGGAGAAGTGGAAACACTCACATCCACTGACACTTGCAAACCAGCGAATAACATCAACATATACATGTTTGCATTACTTTACATACTGACTTTAGAAGATTTGCTCATAATCCTGTGTAAATGTAATCTAAAACCTTAATGAGCACCAAGGGAAGGGAATAGAGAGAAGGTTAGAGAGAAGATAGAATGACAAACAGTGTAACAATATTTATTTCCTTTCTCCCTCCTTCACTACTAGTCTTTCTGATGTTGCAATTCTCCAATAGATAGAGACATAAAGAGCATGAGAGGACAACAAGGATTAATAACCTGCATTCTTGTGATTCTCATTGTTTGGTTTCAAGCTGTGTTCCAAAAAAAAGTCTGAGAGAATGGCTAGAATCATAAACAGAAATGCTGACAGAAATAATTAGGGCAAAAATCGAGTCTTTTATCCCTCTCCCTCATTCTACCCCCGCCTTAGTCCTTGTCTATGTCCCAACCATGTTTCCTGGAGACAAAGTGTTTTACGGCAGCCGCAGACAATGATGAAGTTTTATGGAGGCTCTGTGGGAGATTAAACCACTATTAGCAACGCTCTGTCAGCTCACTCCAGCTGTTGCCGTTTGTTTATGGCTAAAAAGTGTTTTATGACACAAGGTGCTATAGTCACCTAAACAATTATAGCAAATGATATATGACTGGTAGGCCTACTGTATTTTTACACCAGGAATGGCTGGGGGAGAGGGAAGGAAAGGAACGGATGCAGTCAGAATGAGAAATAAGCAATTACAGGAGAGCAGAGATGATGGGATGAGAGGTGAGACAGGAGCATCGATAAGAGAACACAATTAGAGGGTCAGGTGGGATTGTGAGGAAAACATATGAGCCAAAAGCCAGTGATTCTGAGAGAGCAGAGTCAAAAGCAGGATGACAAGATTGAATGCAAATCCTTATCTTTTTTTTAAAAGTAAATGATAAAAGTGGTGATAGAAGTTATATGCCTTGAATTAGTGCTGTAAAGATAGAGGAAAATGATAGGAGACAAGATAGAGACAATACAGAGAGAGAGAGAGTGGATAATACGTGACAGTACCATTTGGTGTGAGTTAGCAGAGCAAGAAAAACAGAGAGTAGGGCTGTGCGATTATGGCAAAAATCATAATCACGATTATTTGGGTCAATAATTGATATCACGATTATTTTGACGATTATTCATTGACCATTTATTGAACTTTAAAACAAATAATATTTTACCAATAAACAAGATCAACAAATATGTTGGAGCGCACTTCCAAAACCATACTAAACATATATTATTAATATGATAAATAAAAATAAATTAGACTAAATTAAATCAAATATGATGCACTGTCACAACCTACTGAAAACTCCTTAACATATAGCCAACATTTTGGTAAAACATATTCAACATATTCCACTCAGTTAAACGTTGAAGGCTGGCCAACCGTCATGGTCCAAAAGTAACAGGAAATACATGTTGAACTACAATTTAAGACCAAATAAAAATGTTTTGGCCACCATGGTAAATGCTGGTAGGGCTGCTCATGTCATCTCTTAAAGATTTTTTGCAAGAAACACCAGCCTGTTTACATGGTCTGGTTTCAGAGATGAGCACCAGGCAGGTGACGATATTGCCACCTGTACTGAAGACCCTCAGCCACGCCCCGACACATGGGGTGACGCCGGCCAATCACAAAGCTTTGATGCGTTCAAGTGCATTATTCTGGCACAGGAAGATTATGTTACAGGACATTAACGATAAAACAGAATATTGTTGTTCTATTTTTAGACACATCTCGCGATCGACTGGTTGGGCACCCCTGGGCTAGACCATAGGTCTGTTGTGGTGGCAAAGTAGTCAGCTGAAGCCACATCTCTCTCAACTTCCCCACGGCATTTGTCATATAGTGCAGGCAGCGCAGACCTGCTGAAATAATACCGAGACGACATCGCGTAACGCTTGTCCAACGTGTTGACAAGTTGCTTAAAGCCCTGGTTGCTAACAGTGCTAACTGGGCACATATCTTTAGCGATGTGAAATGTAATGGCAAAGTACTTGCAAATAGTGGAAATAGTTGTACCCTTCTTTTTAACGAGTTGCTGCTCTTGTTCTGACATTTTCGCTCGCGCTGAACACTCACAACACATTTCACTCCCACGTGGCCGAGTGGGCTTTTAGGGAGGGGCGAAAGCGCACCCAGCAAAATAATCGTATTTTGTCAATTATGCTGTTTTCATAATCGTCGCAAGCCATAATCGTAATCGCGATTAAAATACGATTAATTGCACAGCCCTAACAGAGAGCTACACTAAAACACCTATTTACTGACTTCTTACTTGTTGTTGGTACTTAATGGCACTGCCATTTACTCTTTAATGTTCCATTTAACTATCATTAGCTGATTGTCTAGAGTAGCCAACTTTTGAATGCTGTTTAAGGAATTCCAGAAATGTCATTTAAAACATTTAACACTATTAATATCATGTGAATGGTGTCGTCAAGTACCTTTATTTGTTGTGTTGCAGAGTACCTGAGTTGGATCAGATCCAAAGTGAGCTAGCAGACGGACGGGCGGAGCAGTTAGCATTTAGCTCGCCTTTTGTCTGAGCTCCCCCAACGTTGGGGTTTAAACCCGGGGAAAGGGACTACATCCTTGTTTCCCTACTTCCTTCAAACCAGCAGTCTTTCTGTTGCTACACCAGTTAGACCCAGTGTACATAAAATAAACATATTATAACATACTATAGTAGGCTTTTTTACTGATGATTGCAAACTAAGATTGTATAGATCCAGTAGTTGGAGGGGAAGTTCTGCCCCATATTACTTTGGAGCAGGTGGCACCTTTGTATGTCATGTGACTACTTAATAATTTGCCTTATTTTGAACAATTCGAATTCTTGTTTATTTGTCTCAATTCTAAATGTGTGTTGTGTTGTTTTGCAGGTGGTTGAGACCAACCTGGTGGCCTTCGATTGTCACTGGATCCTGATTAATGAGGTGAGTGCCACTCAAATGATGTATGGATCCCGTACTGGGTGTGCCTTCAATTCACCTTATTGCTTCCATTATCCTGGGAATATTTATAGTTTTACATCCAAGGTCACTCTAATCTCCCCATTGTTTTGTGTGAAGAAGAGAGGAAAGCTTACAAAGTTGTCCTCTTCTTTTGATCAGTCACAATAACACACACAACTTGATGACCAAGGACAATTTAGTTTATTTAAGTTAGATTCAGCTGCCGCACACCACCGACTAAAACAATGCAATAAAGATTTGATATAGTTCATGCTCACGACTTGTTGAAAATAGAGCCACTGTCTACAAACACTAAATTTGCCAGAGGAAAAAAGTGACCTTGCGAGACTTTCCTTGAATGAAGCATATATTCTGGCTCAGTATTACTCCTTAAATAATAAACGTGTATAAAGGGAGCAGGCAACCACTGAGTCAACAAATTCACTTTACTATCCAATCAGACTTTGGTACTGTGATGTCTTTTCAATCGAAGTTAACAATACATGTCTATTGATCATAAAGAAACATTTTAACTTTAATATTGACTTAACTTACACATTATTTTGAAAAGAAACACATATTTGATCTTGCTTCGTGTGAAATGCCTTTTACAAAACCACCCAGATCAGCTATTTGTGAGTTTGTGTGCAAGATTGCAGTTTGTCTTGGTGTGAGTTTACATTGCTAGCTAATGCGCTGTGTCTTGGTAGCCTTGGGCATCAAAGTGAACTGGCAGGGTACAGCAGGGGGTCCATGCCCATACTGCCAACAATGCCACACTCAAGAGCAAGAATGCGTACACAACCATAAACACAAATATTTAAAAAAACATTGCTGTAGTAGCTATGAAAAACCCAACTACAAAACAAGAAAAATAAACTCTGATGCTTCATACTGTTTCTCTCACTCCCTGTTCCACTTAAAAGTCAAAGCCTAAAAAGTCATAGCCTGCAAGGCTCAGCAGTCCTATTACTTGCTCAGTTATGCAAAGAAAGTATTTCAGTTTGAACCAAATGTTAATATGCATGACATCCATTAATGCTGCAGGGACAGCCAATCATTATTTTCTGATGTTCGCTTTTAGAATGTCAGTCTTGCTACATGATGGTTTTTATGTTTTCCTATTTGATATGGTTGAGAGGCTGCAGGAACATTGTCCCAATCCCCGCAAGTACCTCAGACAACCTCTCAGTATTGTTTTTGCATTTATTCAAATGCTAATGCTTCCAGGGAGTGAGGGAAAAGAACGAGACTAGTCCCTGCAATTTAATGAAGATGGCGGTCTTCTCAGAGGTAAACATCTGGATACATCTGTTCAAAAACAACCACTCTGTATTAGTTACTGGCTCCATAGAAGGACTGCAGTGCCACTTAAATGTGTCTCTGTTGCTAATTGAAATAAATGGCATAATATAATGTGCATTTCATAATGTAACAGTTGAAGCTTTACTGCTCACTTATAAATATGTCTGTGGTCGTACACTCTCCTGACAGCCTGTTTTTGTACAGAAGCAGAAGGATGTAGAATGTCAAGCAGCCTTCTGAGCAGTTTATCATTACCTGACTGCCTGATAGGCTCAATTCCCATCTAGCCGTCTAATCGACTGCTTTGCATCCTGCCAAGCATCTGTTATTGTCTAACACCCTTCAAGCTTCCTGGCAGCGACCGTCTCTTCGCTAAGCTTTCTGGGAGGCCTAACATGTCATTCTGCAGCCTACATGTCCAACATCTATAGCTGCATGCAGCCTTTAACAGTTTGTACCTGCTGTCTTTGAGGAATCATTTGTGAAATGCAGTCTGGCAGGTCAATGCACTCTCGGTTTTTGTAATGGCATAATATAATATTTGCATCATTCTGCTTTCTTTCAAACAAATGTTTTGTTTAACTTCACAATTTCCAAGAGACTGTGAAGTAGCAAACAGTCTTGGTGGTTTTAGATTTATTGGAACATTTTGTAGATTGGTATGTTGTAACCATTGAAACTCTGGTTATCAATAGTTAGATCATTGCAAAAAGAGAGTTGTTGTTATTGGACCCCTTTCACTCAAAGGGTATAACAAAAGTATCTCAGGTACCAGTAGAATCTGGTAAGTCAAATCAATTATATGTTTTACTCTTTTACACCCCATGTTTCCTGGGTACTATCCTCAGTGTAAAACTATAAAGAAAAAAACATGTGTTACAGTAAGTCGATGAGAGTCGAACCATGCAGTGAAAACCAATACTTAATTGTTGACAACTCGCGTGTATTTTTTTTAATATATTTTTGTTGGCACACAATTTTCTGAAACAGGAAAGCCATAAGGAAATGAGATCCAACAATCAGTCAAGCTAAATGGAACCAGGGACTTATATCTTAATAATGTGGCTATCTTTCTCACCCCACAAAGTTATTGGCATGATGCTCTACAGCTTTTTATGTCTAGTTGTCTTGTTCTCAACCACTTCACGAAAGCGTTTAAGATTTGATTTAAAATTCAGCGAGAACCAGTCAAGCAAAGTCAGTATGAGACCAGATGGATCACAGGCAGGACAGCAAGAATACATTCTGCTCTAGCTCCTTTCTCTCGTGCTGGCTGAACACATGCTACTGTATGGCACTTGCAGTGTGCATTTAGATATCTTCACCAATGTCATTACTCATATTAGTATATATTTGCTTCATATATTAGTATTACACAAATAATATACTGTATTTGTGGTTACTGTGAACATGCAGAAACCCTCCTGGATACCGGGGTTGTAGGTTTTATTCCTTAGCAGATGAAATAAAAAAAAGCAGGAAAAGCAGAGATAAGTACAGGGGCCACAAGGGCTGAAGGGAGGTATGGGTTGAAGAAACAACAGATGTCTAGAGATTGTGTTTAAGAGGAAGAATAAGACATGTGCACCTACTATACAAAAACAGACTTTTTTCCCCAAGTTATATTAAAAAGATAATAATAATAATAATTCAACTAAGACATAAACATCATTACAATATATATCTTTGATCTAATTCTGCTAATTCAAAGTATGTTAAGGAATAATGGCAAAAGTAGTTCTAAAAAATGCTTCTTGGCAAATTCATTCATTATCTGTATTTCTCCTGACTCTAAACTGCACAAAATATAAAAGATACCCATAGGAAAAGTTTAATTCCCATATTTTTACTGCTAAAATGTCATAATTTGGCATATAAACGATAACGTTATGCCACAAACTGTTCAGATACAATATTCCCATCATTGGCTTTGAGTCCTATACTGTAGCAAAGTGTTTAAATGGATGAGTGGCTACAATATTTTTCTATACAATTTCCTACTACTGGTTCTTTGGAGAATGAATATTCCTCAGTGTAAAAGCACTCTCCCTCCCTGTGGTTTATTTTGGATGAGGGGGCACTGTATGGTTGTCATAACTCTGCTTTATCTACAGCTAGCAGTCAGACAGCCCCACTGAGGGGGAGTTCACAGTTCATAATTGATCATCCTTCCTCTCCCTATCTCCTTCGTTCTGCTCAGGCTGAGGGGATGAAGGGGAGGAGGCAGAGACATAATAAGGGACACTCATGGCTTCTCTTCTTCTCTGTCTTTCTCTCAAGTTTGGAGGATTTGACCTTACTCGTTCTGAATCACTTCATGGTCTTTCATTTTCTGTCATGCTATCATTCTCAATCTTAACTATTGCTGTTCACACTCTTTTTATCTGTAATTTGCTTTTTCTTTATTCATTTCTGCCTTTTTGTCTCATGGGAACGAGTGCATGGTAATGAGATGAGACGAGATTAGGCTTCTCCGTCATTTTGGCTGTAAAAATATCACTGCTTGATATTCAAAGCCATGAAACTGACATTTTGGGGATTTTCATGCTTCTAATTATGATTTTAGGATTACATGGTCTTATGCCAGCTAAGATCATTCTACAAACCGTTATTTAGTGAAACCCCATCAAAACCCACTGTACAAAAATGTTTGCCGGTAAATGTAATTTATTATTTTTGGAAACATGTTGAAGATATGACATTTATACTGTTGGGGAAATATTTTCCAAGGCCCATAACTTTGACCCAGTTTATCAGTTTAAACTGTCCTGACTGAGCACCTGTAGTCTTGGCTGCTGTGCTCTCAGTGTTTTGCCTCCCTGTTCCTGCCTGTTGGCGTCAGCTGATAGAGGTGTTATGATTCTATCTTTTTATGCACAATGTTGATTATTCTCTCAGAACTAGCTAAATACATGGGTCTGGGGTAGAGTTCTTCAGAATTGATTATGGCATCTCATCCGTGTGGTCAGACCGTGGCCCTGTGGACATGTCTTGTGAATTATCCGGCCGAAGCTCCAAATAAACCGTCAGTGTTTGCCATCAAAGCTCCAGCTCTCCTCGTGTCTCTCTGAGTCCTGTCTGCATTGCTTCGGAAATTTCCCCCACATATACCATTTATTATTCCTTCAGTAATATCTAAGTGATAGAGCACTATATACAGCTACAGTGCTTGTCAATAGGAGACAGTGGCGAGCCGTGACTTTTATACCTAGGCCCTCTGACCCTCCTTCCCTCGAAAAAAAAGAAGAGATATTACGTCACAGCGTATACTTCAGCGGAATATCAAAACAGCGGCCCTGGGTGCAAAACGCATCAATGACAGCGACCCTCTACCACACAAAACAACACCATTTATATAAACACCTATCATGACAGGCTCCCTTACTTACAGCCAAGTAACAATTACAAATGAATTAAGTCGGCACGGCGGCCCACATTGAAAATAACTTAGGCCTACCTTTGATGATCAAATCACTTAAACACAAAGTCCATCCTCCTGTCCTTTTGGATGAAGCACTTGATGGCGGGTCATGCAGCTGATCCTTTGCCACTCCAGTTTATCATTGTAACTCAATCTTGAAAATGACTCGGTTAATAATTTCGCAACGATGTCATCACTATCACTGAAGTGAGCCATCATGAACGAACTTATGCTAATTGTAAATATATCGATCATAAATCTATCGTTTAGATTTATGATTCGAAAATAATAAAAGTAGGGTAGAGATGTGGATTTTATCCGGCTGAACAAAACGTGCATTTATCTAACAGGTTCGTTTTCCACAGACCTTATTTCGAGCTATTTTCCAAAATCCTATGGAGAAATCCCGTTGCTTTCTGTCGAGGGAATCCGAGCGAAGCTTACTTCCGGGTTATAGGACGCGTCACTGCACCACTTGCATAGACCTCACAGCGGGCGGAACTTGTCATAAAGTCCGCGAAAATATAGCCCGCCCATTTAGAGGGAAGATATGATTGGTCAATTGTACTGTCATTTGACATTACTCTCTCGTTGAGTTACTATAGCTGGCCCTCTGTGAATGTAGAGAGGGACCAACAAGCTCTCCCGTCTTCACATAACTCGCAGAGACGGCATTTAACCCTTCACATTCCAACAGAAACTGAACAGGCAGATTCGAAGGATTTATTTATTTGGAAATATTATTTTAAATACAATTAAATCAAGTTATTTTGGTAAAACTAATGAAAAATGTAACAACAACAACATTTAAAAAAAAATGTTTTTTTTTTAATGTTTTCAAATATTATTTTTTAGAATATCTTAGGCCCTCACAGAGGGCCTAGAGGGCCCTCACAGAGGGCCTAGAGGGCCCTGACGGCTCGCCACTGATAGGAGATGCCCAGCTGGAAGTTTCCCAGTACGACTGCGACATTTCCAACCTATCCAATTTTCCCTGTCAGGTCTAGAGGTCTGAATCACACACATTGTCCTCCTTTTTGACCCTGCCGTTCATTTTAGGCCTTTTTATTTTAATTTTATCACAGCCATTACCGAGATGTGTGTTGCCTTGGAAGTATATTGTATTTTGTCGATCAGGCAGTGTTCCACTCCCTTCATACTAGCCTCTTTCTTCTTATTGCCCTTTTCTCTATTGTTGTTTGTAGGGTATTAATGAAAGTCCTCAACATTTTAAGGGGAAGACACATAAATGAAAGGGTGACAAAGAAGAGTCAGAGGCATAGAAGACATTTTTGGGCTGTTCTGGGAAAAGGTGGAAGAGAGAGTACAAAATGGCCAAATGAAACAAGATGCTTTTTCAGACTTGTTTTGTTTTTTCATAACTTTGACCCTCTGAATACAAGGAAAACAGAGGAATGTGGTGTTCTCATAAACATGGGCAGAGCGAGAAAGAGTTTTGGGGGTGAGAATAGGAGTGGGAGGAGCAGAACAGGTTGAATACTAAACAAAACCAGCTTTTTCCCCTCTTCTGCAAATAATAAGAAAAAAGCAAGGATTTGATGTCTCTAGGGTAGATATGGGGAGAGATAGTTGTTGAGGGGGGAAAGGGCGGAAAACAACGTATAGGGGTCAGGGAAGAAGTGCAAAGAACAATTGTGGATGAAGGATGTGTTTTGGTGTTGACTCCCATCTTCAAGTAAAACACTAAAGACGAGGATTTGGTGGCCTCAGGGGATTGGAGGGAAGGCGAGAGAGGTGATGGGTTAAGGTTGATGGCGATGCCTGCAGACCAACACCTTCTAGTTTATGGAGTAAACAACTCATGATTCACTCTGTTCATGAGCTGCATGGCTGTTTGGGGGTTACACCTTACCCAAAGATTCTGCTTTAAGGCAGTCTGTCTTGGTGCTCACATGTAGGGACCAATAAAATATTCTCTGGACTGCATGAATTTGATGGATAGGGAAATGGATTTCAAATAATGTGACTTATGCTCCAATATTTAATAGGACTGGATCCTTGAATATGTAATTGAAATCTAAGCGGAAATATTGCTTACAGAGTGTGATGATGATTTTGTCTAGCTGTTGAGAAGTCAACCATAATGATGCCTTGCTTGTTTCAAATGTCATATGAAATAACTCGGTTTGGGTTTAATTTTGCGGAACCAGATTACACTAAATACAATTATACCAGATAGTATACGTACATGTTATGCATGTCTATTATGGAGAACGAAAGAAAAGTTGCACCAGTTTTATAATGTTTGGTCAATGTCAATTGTGCACTGGTACCTTATTCCTCCCAGGACCCCTGCATATGTAGATGTACTGTGAGCATGAGAGCTCGCGTGATTCCGTATGTGCAGTTATATCAAAATACGTGTGTATATATGTCACATTAAGTTAGTCTTAGCCATTAAAGACTAACAGCATATAGGGAATGCCACCACTGAAAGTCTCACTGGGGGTAGTCTTAAGTTTGTCCCCAGAGAGTACGAGACGAAGAGGCAAATGGAAAGTGGCGAACAAGAAAGATGGAGAAATCTCAAAATGACACTTTCCTTTTACATTTTAGTTGTGTTTCAATGTGTGCGTATGGTTTTGTATTCCTGTCAATCGTTCCATCTATATTTGTTTGAGTTTGATCCTTTGAGTGGTGCGCTCTGGATAATTCTTGCATGCCGACATTTATTTGCATGCCCTTGACTGCCCGTTGTGAATCTTGATTCTCTTTTGGCCTACAGATCTGTCTTTTTAGCAATGTTCTGCATTTTCTATCTGTCCTGCTCCTTCTTTGTTGGCTTTTTTATTCTGTTCCATTCAGGGGTTTTCATGTAAGCAACTGTTTGGGATTTCTGCCACGTTTTACCCCCAAAAGCTGAACAATCACCTCTTTGCTTGCGGCTAAGAAAGTAGATCTTTCAGAGCACATGGCATTCATACCTCACATATTCATCAAGGCACAAATAACACTTTCTTCTGTTTATCAAAACATTTTAAAATAAATATTAAAAATTAAAATGCTACAATCTTTGACATTAAATATGAACGGCAAATGTGAGTCTTAAATCGGACTTACCTTATTTCAAATATTCAAAACAACATACATGTGATTGCCTAAGCAAATGCATATTTGTGCTTATATAGCGAGCGCCATATATCAGCCTAATTGCTGCAGATGAGTACAGCTATACCAATGAAGCCTGTATAATATTACCTCTAATCACCTTTGATCACATCCCATGAGGACTCACTACCCTTGATGAACATTAATTACATTCAAATGTAATCCATTGAAATTAGTCAATGAACCAGTGGTACCTATAATATTACCACTCACTACTATAATGTGTATGTGATGGCTTATTTATGTTTGTGCACGGTCTGCAGGCAGGGTTTCATATATCCTGTCAAGAGAGGCTGCTAATGTGCAAATTAAACGGAATCAAGTGTTTCGCATGATCGAAAACATATGCTGACATCACACATATTTCAACATAAACTGGCTTATGCACACAATTCGCACAAACACAGATAATTACTGCACACAAAGACAGCAAAGGCAGTCTCGGTTGGTGGCAGTGTTACCTCCACCAGGGACGTTTACCGTCAGTTCTCATCTCATCACCACATGACCTTGTGCACTTGCAGTGGATGGATGGAGATCCATGAATCTAGAGAGGGAGAGAGATTGTGTCCGAGGGTTAACATTAGCAATGATTCCTCCCCCAAGGTTTTACAAGGACATGCAGCGTACGTACGTGCAAACACACATGTATGAGCAGAAGCACACACAAACACAAACAGACACTTTAATCCCCTCTCTCCCTACTTCCATCTACTGAAATGTACCTTTGTAATATATTAGCTTTCTTTGCAGATGACGTTGACAATGTTTTTTGTGCTCAGTGTGGTGATTTTGGGAGAAGTAGAGCATGTAAAGAAAGACCTAAATAACTTAGAAATATTGTTTGACGATCAGCAACTGTAGAAGCATTACATTTAAAATTGACTTTATTGGATTCCAACCAAGACTTTGGTGTTGTTATTGTATTTTTCTTGTCAAAATGTAAGCTATAAGTCTTGGGCAACAATAAATAATGTGGTGGTGCAGCTGTTGATATTGATTTCTCTTATCTCCATTGCTTTCCCCACTTTCTTCTTTTCCTTAACCTGACCATTCCTCTTCCTATCTATACCACCATCCTTCTCCTCTTCACCCTCTTAGGAGATCTCAGACTACGATCTGCAGGAGTTAGTCATGAAGTCGATCGGTCGGCTGACGTTGGTGCGGCAGACATTCCCCATGCCCCAGAACGCGAGTCAGCGCTGTGTTAAACACAACCACAGGATCAACAATTCCCTGTGTGACCCTAAAAACCCCAGGTCTCATCAGCTGGAGGTAAGTTAGTTTGGTGATTTGTATTTAAGGCTAAAAGGTTAAATATGAAGGTTTATACAGAAAGCTGAAAAGCTGCACAAGAAAAAGAGATGTATCTTTGTCTAAATCGCCACTATCAAAGAGAACCTGAAATTAGATTCAGTCATTTATTTTATTTAAAGCGGAGAGAGGTGTACATTGGGAATACAGTAAATTGATTGTTCACAACATTATTGGGCATCTTTGCCCCCAATAAAAATGAACTGATATACGTCATCAGTGTGAAAGACTCAAGATCAAATAAATAGAGCTTGATTTGTGGTGATATCGTTTCCTCAGCTTCTCTTCTCAAAGATTTTTATTTTTTTATTTCTTGTTCCAATTCTGTACTCAAGCTAAATTGATGTTGAGTATGCATCCCAAAACTTTACATGACAGAAGAGAGAGATTCACACATTACCAAATAATTGTTTAATTAAAAGACTAAAATTGAACTTGACTTCAAATACCAGCAGTTTAGATGGTGTTATGCGTGGACAAGTTTGTCAGTGCAATATTGTATGGTGCCGCATCAGAGACCAGAACATCCACCAATAACCACATGGGAGGTGCGAACCAGCTATTGAACTTCCTCAATGTTGAAAAACAAAAAAAAGCACTGGCACACTGTGTTGCCAGTTTACTGACAACCCTCTACCATGTCCTCCTTAAAAAGCAGCCATACAAATAATGTGAATGTCAGACAGAGCAAAAATGGTTGTCACAACAATCAGATACAAACATTAAATGCTTAACTTGAGTGTTACCCATGTGTCTCTGAGTTACATGCTGTACATTCACAAAACCTTTGATTTCATTTTTTATATTTGGTTATGCATGGCTCTCTTTAAATGTATTAATGTATTTAGATCTGGTTCTTTCATTTTGTATCATAAAACTGCTCCAGGTGTTTTGAGTTTGACATTTCAACATGTCTCCCAATCCAAAGCTTCCCATTGAACCAGGGTTGCTGATTTGACATTGTTACAGCTCGTGCCTTTAAGCTTTTGTACCTGGAACATTCATCATTTGGGAAATAGCGTTCTCCCCCCCATACATGTTTTTTTCTGAAACCACACAATTTAACTGACAGCATGCTCAAGGAGACAGTTTTTTCTCCACTTTCACATTTTCTTTACTTTTCTTACATGTCCCCAGGGTGGCAATATGTATGCAATTACTACACTTTTGTGTGTGTGTGAGTCATCAGGCTTCCATCAAATACAGCAGAGAAAAGGGAACACACTCTTATTTATATGTCAAGACAAAAACTGAAAATTGAATTAATGTGCTGTTGATTTATGTGGATGCATCAAACCCTGGGGGAACACATTTGATGAAAGTTGGAAATACATTCCAACAGAAACGTGGTCTTAATACGTTATCTCCCTTTGTTAGTCGTAAGATGAAACCATGCTGTGCTTACAACCACTGTTATCAATGAATGGACTTTTTCTTTTATTATGAATAACATCGGACAAGATGAATAATATACCACAAAGGTTAAATACTACCTTCATTCCTAAATGTATTTTTTTATTATCCTGGTAAAACCCTACATTTGGTTGTAGCCTTGCCACACAGTATGCACAATACAGACATTGGTAACTCCCGAAAGCCCTGAAGCAGCAAATAATACACGTAGATAAAGCTTGCCTTGTGTGTCTAATATGAATCAGGTGCTTCTCAAGTGTAAAAAGCTAGCTTCGAGAATCCAAGCCCATTCAACGCAATCATTATATGTTGTGTGGAGTCTAGTCATTATGTGCTCATTCTACTGTGGAGGGCTGAGGGTGTGCACGTGACTACGTATGTGTGTGCATTTGAGTGGAACTCATTTCAGTCAAGGACAGTGTGTTTTTGAAAAGTGAGAGCGGAAAACATCCCTGTACACATGTTCTGTTTGACATCCGTTGTTTGTGTGTGTGTGGGAGAGTGAGTGAGTAAGTGAATGATTGTATAGGTGGTGGATATGTGAGTGGTAACATTTGAAAAAGGTATGGGAGAGAAAGACAGACAAATATAGAGAGAGAGAGAGAGAGAGAGAGAGAGAGAGAGAGAGAGAGAGAGAGAGAGGCAGAGGAAGCAGATCAGCTCAGCAGTCAGAGAATGGCTCAGAAGACCAATTTCACACTGCACTGAAGCACATCAACTGAGGCTGACCACACACACACACACACACACACACACACACACACACATACACACACACACACACACACTGAGTGCAGAGCCCACTGATCATTGAAGCTCCCAACAGTGCAGCAGATTTTCACTTTAATTTCCAGAGACAGTGAGATGGAATGATAGACGGACAAAGACAGCAAGTAAAACACTACGACAAAACTGTGAGAGGAAGGCGACTTCTAAAGAAAGTGCGAAAAAAGTTTGATGTGAGATAAACTTGACAATATAGTTTCCCTTTCGTCCTGTTTGTCAGAAAACTATTTGACATTTAACAAGGAGTATTCTGTCATCTTATCATCTCTTATATAAATGTTTTAAGTGTAACTTGACATTGCCACGTTCCCACTTGGTCTCTATGCATTTCAGAAAAGCATGCTGGAAGGAGATTGATAGACTGAACAAGCCAGACACCGCTCAGACATAGAGTGTACTCTATGTGTACTGAATGTATCTAATAGCCTGGAATAAAATTCAATGTTTGAGTTTGCACACCAGCTGTTTAAAATATTTCCCAAAGGTTTTTAATTCTTAAGAAGCAGGATAGTCCTAAATCATAAAAGCCAGATGTATTACATTTGGTTTCATTATTACTTATGTACATGCAAAACCACCTCACTAAATGTATTTGTTGGTGTATAACAACTATCTAATGTAACATATGCCTTTGAAGTTATTGTTTTGTTTAAACCTGTTCAAGAATTAATGGGAATATTACTGTGAAAACCAAATTGAAACACTAAACGTGGAAGCAAAATGTCTGCATTTATTCTGTCACAATTTTAAAAATGTTTATATCTCTCATTTATTTTTCAATAGATCACCAACCGCTATATTTATGATAGTGTGTTGCTGCTGGCCAACACCTTCCACAGAAAGCTGGAGGACAGGAAGTGGCACAGCATGGCCAGTCTGAGCTGCATCAGGAAGAACACCAAACCTTGGCAGGGTGGCAGGAGCATGCTGGATACCATCAAAAAGGTATGAGAGCGCACACACTGTTCCCCTCACGTATTGAAGAAATAACTCAACCACAGAAAGTGTGCAAGCATGCATTATTTGTCGCTATGTCACACACACACACACACACACACACACACACACACACACACACACACACACACACACACACACACACACACACACACACACACACACACACACACACACACACACACACACACACACACAGCCCCTTCAAAAACACATACACACAGCTGATTTCTGGATGCATGGACACATATGGTGACACACATTCTAGGCCCTATGATACTGAAATGAAAACATTCTGCAAAGTTCAAAGTTGTGCTAAACATTTTGTCCAGATCATCTCCATGAACACACATACAGTCATGGAGTGAGCATCTATGAAATACAAAACAATATCACTATTTTTTTCCCAAACAAATGGTTATTGAAAAATTAACTCAAAACTTAATGTTATAATATTTAACATTTTACCAACAGTATAATTCATATCCATGGTTTATATATTGTGCTCATAAATATATGTTGAGTTCAGTGCATGCCAATTTAAAAATGGTTCATTAACACAGTATTTAAAAAATAATTTAAAAAACAAGTTGTACTAAGACTTATTCGCAATTTATCTGGAACAAATTAAACTGTGACTTGATTAATACAGGAAAAATAGCAAAAGCATTGGCCTATTCCCTAAAATAACTACATACAAGTTCAGTTTAGGTTTTTCACTATTTTTGGATGTGTCTCAGGTTTATCTTTCAGCTGTAGGAGTGAAACACATTTTCTTGCATTTCTCATTTAGGAGCATATATTAGCATTTGAAGACATTGTGCTCATTACATGAAACTTTGGAAACCACGCATTATTGTTCCTCGGCTGAGACACTCTAGTTGAAATAGCAATGTCATCCCTCGGTATAAATAAAGTCCTCTCCAAGGAGGGTGAATGACATAGAGGAGGCTTTAAATAAGCATTTGTTTGTAATGTTCTTATCAAATGGAAATCCAATTTGTGTTCATTAATTAGATTGAAAGTTTCTAAGTTGCTTTCTGCATTTAATAGACTGTATGACCCCAGTGCTCATAAATTCAAAGGATGGCATACCTTAAAAAAACACATGCATCAATCAGCAAGTTCCTGAACAGTTGACTTTTGGGAGATAGAGGATTTCATCCTGCAGCTGTAATTTTGAATCTCTGCGTTTCACCTTGAGTTCAGTCTGGGGTTCGGCAACACTTTCATCACTGTTAAATCCAATTGGATCAATGCCCTCTGTTTTGATATCAATACAAAAACAACTCCAGGGATAGTACTTTGACTGAATAATGAAGCCAAGTGAAATGCAAATTTTGGATTAGTGTCAGACAATAACAAATGATGTGCAATGGCTTTCAGATATATCTCTTCATTTCACCTTGAGATCAGACTCTAATTTGGCAACACTTTCATCAGCCAGCCCTGGCTGTTAAACCAACCCTAATGTCTGTCTCCACAGAGCTGAGCTAAAGAGCCCTGAGCAGTAATAGAGTAGAGTTCAGCAGACTGCCATCAGTTCCATTTTACACTGTATCAGCACTGTGCTTTACTTACTCTGCATGCCTGTGTGATTAATCAACGTTTTCCTATGTTGATGAGGAGCTCTATTTATGTTGTTGTTTGGTTTTCATTGACACATTCATAGTGAAAAATGCAGCTTTAAAACAGCTGTTACAATCATCCTTAAAGTCAGAAGTGTATGCTGTGTATGTGCTTGAACTGTTTGTAGACAGAATGTCCCTAACCATTCAGATGCGTTGTCCTTCTGTTTTTATACAAGAATAAATAAAAAACTCAAATTATCAAAGACTTATTTCACTCCAGGGTGATAGCAGGACACCCCATCTAATCACTCCGAGAGAATCTGGACAACCTGATGTACAGTTTCAAAATAAAAGACCTTGGAAGTCTCATATATGAGCTATCGTCCTTCCGTTTGTATCCAACAGTTAAAATGTTCAAATTAAATTGAACCAGAATTGTCCTTCTTTTTTCTTTAACAGTGAAGAAAATTGGATATGTTAGTGATATTTTGACCGCAAAAATCAAAATGTCCCCGGTTTTAATTTTGAAAATCTGGTCACCTTACTGAGGTCGTCATAAAAATATTGAAATATGGCTGAAACTAGGGATGCATATCGTTGACTTTTTTGCGATACCGATACCACTGAACGATACCGATACTCAACCGATACATATCGTGATACTTTGAAAATGTGTCATCCCACAATTACTCCGATGAAGCGCTTTACGATATAGTTAACATGTCAAATTAATATTAAATTCAATTGTGGGACTTCTTGGACCTTTTAGTACTGAACAAACAATGAAAAAAAATTGATAATACGGTAATTGGTAATACCGGATACCGGTATGCATCCCTAGCTGAAACCCTCCGTCTATTTACGAAGAATAACTGTCTCAGTGATAGGTTAATGTCCAGGAGCCGCTGCTCGATGTTTTCAGAAAAGACAAATAGAAAAACAGCATAAAAAAGTAAGCAGAGGCAAGAGCAAGCAGAAAAGCGTCTGCACTGTAAGAAAGCTGCACACAAGACTCCTTGTAATGCACATTAAGTTCTAAAGACCCCCTGAGGTTCATTCAGAGTTCAAGCTTAACACTTATTTTATTATTGCTATTTTTATAAAACTGACTTCATTAAACATATTTAAATGATTTCTTCTTATTTATTTGTCAGATTTATTTTCCAGTCTCATGATTCTATTGGCATGTTTCTTGTATCAGGGGCAATTAAAAATAAACTAATTGTTATAAATGTATTACTCCAATACTGAGCTGCCAACATTAATTTACTGAATAATTCTGAAAGGCAGTGAACAGTATCCAAGCAGATTTCATGAAGCAAGTACTTTATTAAGTGTGTAAGTGTGTTAGTGTGTGCGTGTGTGTGTGCGTGCGTGCGTGTATGCATGCGTGCGTGCGTGTGTGTAATTGACCTTTGGGAATAAAATAATAAAATATGGTAACAACATACTGCGTTGTCAATGTAGCTCACTGAACTGAATGGGACATAACCATCATTAATAAACTACAGTATAGTATCTCTATGTTCACAATGGAAATACTACATACAATGGGATCCAACCCTCCCCCTTGTTTTCTCTGCATTAATAATTTTATGTAAATAAAGGTTGCTCTTTTAATTATGTCGTAATTATGTATTCTCACTTATGACAATTGTACCCAAATCCACATTTATGTGTGCAGACCGTAAATATTTGAATAGATATAATGTTTTGAAAGCGTTACAAATGAGGTGTTATCACCTTATTCACAGGGTGTCTGTGCAAGTTTTTATATGATGAGGCAAAATAAGATGCATGGTCCAACCCATGCTTCATACACACAGGAGCAAGCACTCACACATACACAGAGCATGATTCATATGATGATGTCTAACACCTCTCCTCCCCTAAAGCAGGAACAGTGTCACTTTCACTGTCACACTCCGGGAGGCAGGGCAAAGGCTAGGAACCGACACCGTTTGTGTGTGTGTGTGTGTGTGTGTGTGTGTGTGTGTGTGTGTGTGTGTGTGTGTGTGTGTGTGTGTGTGTGTGTGTGTGTGTGTGTGTGTGTGTGTGTGTGTGTGTGTGTGTGTGTGTGTATTCTGATATGCGTGTGAGTGAATTTACCTCTCAAAACAGTACATTGTACGCCGCTAGTGCAAAGTTCAGACCCGTTGCTCTCTCATTAGCGTTATTACACACACATATGGGTGCAGTTTATTGCAAAAAAAATTGCCATACATTTAAAGTAAGATTTTCCACAAGCGGCAAAACATAGTTCTTTAAAGTTTCCTCTCTTGGCCACATAGATCGTATACATGAACACATATACTATTCCTACAAAAACATGTTGTATTCAGTAGCTGTTCTTAATGAGGAGATATAATAAGTCTAGGGGTCAGACAGATGATTCATGTATCTGCTTTATTGAGAGCACTTCATATATCTGATCTTTAAAACTTAATTTAATGTCAAACCTTTCAGCCAGAATTATTGATGAGGTCAAATAATACCGACGAGATTAAAGCTCAAACAAGAATAACAACAGTGATGATTGCAATACCATAACAATGTTGCCAAGTAACAACAGTCAAAAAAACACCTTTTATCTTGTGTTTGCAGAATGGAGTGAGCGGCCTCACCAGTTTCCTGGAGTTCGATGACAATGGCTCCAACCCCAACATCTTCTTTGAAATCCTGGGAACAAATTATGGAGAAGACAGGGGACGAGGAGTCACTCGGGTAAGTAGTTAAGGCAAAACCCCTTGTGTTTGGTGTATTACTGTGGGTGGGGGGGGGACTCATTTCGGGAGTGGATTTACATACTTTTTGGGATTTGCCAGGGAATTTTACTGCACCTGCTCTCACCTGCACATTATTTTCCATCTAATATTGATTCAGGCATCCCTTTCCCAAGGCTGTCACTCCTTTGCAACAGAGTACAGCTCTGCCACCGTTCTTTATTTACTAATGGTTGATTTTAGATCTTTAAATCTTTAAATTCCATGGCCCACTTTGTTTCAATGTGTGTGTGTGTGTGTGTGTGTGTGTGTGTGTGTGTGTGTGTGTGTGTGTGTGTGTGTGTGTGTGTGTGTGTGTGTGTGTGTGTGTGTGTGTGTGTGTGTGTGTGTGTGTGTGTGTGTGCGTGCAGTAATTGCAATGACTACTGATTCTGTTCAAATTTTATGATTGTATTGTTTGGTTCAGCATGTCAGATCACAACATACTCCTGGTTTATGCTACGCAATTTATGCTTGGATAAGCATACTTCCTTGAAATATGTCAATTTATGTTTTGAGAAAGTATACTCTTACAGCTTTTGCTGTCTTAACATGCACTGGTACATAAGGATCAGAGAGTCCATACTGACATCACTAACTAATCAGTGTTAGTGGATTATGCATATAGGTGTGAAAACAGTTGGGTAAAAATATGTGACCCAGACTTGCAATGTTTAATCCCATAAGATTCCATTGGACACAGAGATAGACCTACACACAAAAACACACCGTATAGTGTGTGTCCTCTACACCAGAGGGGTCTCTTTGCAGATAACAGTTAAGATAGTGAGCTGTGATTATGAATAATGTGGTGAGACAGCAACATAATGCAGCATGCCATCAAAGACAAATGTAATCTTTAAAGCACAGCATATAATTACATTTAGGGACAATTCCCTAATCAGAGAGCATAATTACTTCTGAGGGAATTAAGGCACGTGGTATACAGTATTCCTGCCACAGTCCCTTAATACTCTGAACATGTGTTGGTCTGTCATTGGGATTGAATTAAACTAATACATGTAATAAAATGACTTTGCAGAGGCTAATATTTCTCTTGTAGCTGAATTGTGCTTTTTGAGTGATGTAGCCCTCTAAAGTGGTGTTAATACAGAGCAGATACATTGAAGGTGGAAATCTGACCCCACACGACCATGAAGAAAAGCGAGCGAAAAGCCCCGCGTGACCCGCTGTATGTTATGATGTAAAGGGTAAAGATAAAAGGAAATGAAAACCCAAAGGTAGTGGGGGTATTCTCATGTCGTTCAAGCATTCCATCGTGTTATGTTCACATGTGTCTCTGACAATAACTGCCTCTCTATTAAAAGGATTTCTTCTATTTGGCATGCAGAGACAGAGACACTTTAAATGTGAACAATGACCTCAATGTAAATTGATTATTATTAAAAGCAACTCTCTATCACCCAAGGTTAACATCTTCCCTTACATGTATATGATGATGGCATGAGTGATAATACTTAATTCTCAGGTTCATTACACGATAGCTCCATTATGGTTGTGGTGCTTCCTCTTAAATACCTTTCTCGAATAGGTTTACATTATAATAATAGAAAAAACTAAGTGACTTGAGGTATAAATCCAACTTGAATTGGAAATATTTGTTTAACATTGACCTTTGAGTGACGGATATGCTCAAAGCAGCTTTCTGTGTCAACCATTTAAAAGAAAAAAAAGCACAAATCACGACGAAAACTGTGTAAACTGACCCGATAAAAGCATTACTGTACGCATCTGCCAACATAATGAATATATCATAACATATTTGTTGGCTTGGTGTTTCACAGAAACACATATTACAGTAGATGACCTGATACTTTGTGAATTATCTTGCATTCCCATCAGCAGCCATAACTTAATTGAAGTGTTATGTTCAGTGTTGCAACATTATAATGTTAGTATTAACATTCCCCACGGTCACATGTTAAGAGACTAATCTCCTTAGCATTTGCAAACCTTCCTTGGAGCATCGTTCGTTCCATTATTTAGCCTTTACCCTGTGGTAATATTTTGTCTTAACAGTTGAGGACACTGACAATGACCTTCCCTATAGAAATTTGTTTCACATTTATTTTTGAATAAATTATAGATCATTTATTTCACTCTCACTCCATCTCTCTGCCCACACCATGTCCATTTACTTCCATGCTTTATTAAGTAAAATGCATTTCTTGTACTCAACTGCTTTCAAGACACTGACGTTGTCACGGTAGAGCGAAGGAAGCAGGACCCAAATGCAGATTAAACTGATATACCTTTATTTCAAGGATAACGAAAATATAACTTGGACAGACAGAACACTCACCGGTGAACACAGTCAACAACGAAAGACGAACCGACAAAGACAGAAAAACCAGAACTTAAATACACACAAGACTAATCACACAAACAAGACACAGGTGAGGAGGGAGGATAAAACACAGGGGCCACAGGTGAACACAATCGGGTAATCAGACACACCAGGGAAACTAACGACAGGGAACCACAGACAGATCCAAACAAGACAAAACACAACGCAGACAGAAAACCAAAAACAGATCTAGACAAAACACCACAAAGACAGATCGTGACAGTACCCCCCCTCAAGGGACGGATCCCAGACGTCCCAAAAAAAGAACACAAAAGTCCAAAACCTCAAGCAGGGTGGGTGGAGGGGGTCCGGAGGAGGGACCTATCACTAGGCCACCAGGGTGGGTGGAGGGGGTCAGGAGGACGGGACTGAGCTGACCGCCCAGAGGCACAGCAGAGGACCAGAAAGGGATCTCGGGCGGACGGCCCGGGGGCAAGGCAGAGTTCAAAAAAGGGGATTCGGGCGGACGGCCCGGGGTCAAGGCAGAGTCTAAGGTGGGGGACTCGGGCGGCCGAGCATGAGGGCGAAGGCAGCGGCAGGAAGAGTCAGGGGGCCGGGCTCGAGGACGAGGTTAGTGGCAGGAAGAGTCAGGGGGCCGGGATCGCGGGCGAAGACCACGGCTCTCAGGGGGCCAGGCTCGAGGGCGAAGACCACGGCTCACAGAGGGCCGGGATCGAGGGCGAAGACCGCGGCTCTCATGGGGCCGGGCTCGAGGGCGAAGACCAGAGAGCTCCGGAGGCCGGGCAGGAAGGCGCTGACGGGCCAGCGCCGGAGGCCGGGCAGGAAGGCGCTGACGGGCCAGCGCCGGAGGCCGGGCAGGAAGGCGCTGACGGGCCAGCGCCGGAGGCCGGGCAGGACCCGGTGTCGGCCGGACAGGAACCAGAGCTGGTGGGACAGGCCTCGGCAGGATCCCCCACGGAAGAGGACCAGGACACGGGATTGGCAGGACCCCCGGCGAGACAGAGGATGGCGGGGCCTCCAACGGAACAGGACAAGGGGTTGGTAGGACCCCCGGCAGGAGAGTAGTCGGCGGGGCCTCCAACGGCACAGGACAAGGGGTTGGCAGGACCCCCGGCAGGAGAGTAGTCGGCGGGACCTCCAACGGGACTGGACATGGAGCCGGCAGGACCCCCAGCAGAACCTCCATCGGCACAGGACGTAGGGTTGGCAGGACCCCCGGCAGGAGAGTAGTCGGCGGGACCCCCAACAGGACAGGACCTAGGGTTGGCAGGACCCCCGGCAGGAGAGTAGTCGGCGGGACCTCCAACGGGACTGGACATAGGATTGGCAGGACCCCCGGCAGGAGAGTAGTCGGCGGGACCCCCAACGGGACAGAACATGGAGTTGGCAGGAGCCCCAGCGGAACCTCCAACGGCACTTCAGTAGGGACTTGAGTTGGAACTGGAGAGGGAACTCGAGAGGGGACTCGAGAGGGGATTTGAGAGGAAACTGGAGAGGGGACTCGAGAGGGAACTTGAGATGGGACTAGAGTTGGGATTTGAGAAGGGACTAGGGAAGGGACTAAAGGAGGGACTGGAGATGGGACTAGAGATGGGACTAGAGGAGAGACTAGAGAAAGGACTTGAGAAGGGACTAGAGAAGTGACCTGAGGAGGGACTAGAGGAGGAACTAGAGAAGGGAACTCGAGAGGGGACTTGAGAGGGGAACTAGAGAGGGGACTCGAGGAGGGACTAGAGGAGGGAACTGGAGGGGTGACTTGAGAGGAGACTCGAGAGGGGACGTGAGAGGGAACTTGAGATGGGACTGGAGAGGGGACTCGACAGGGGACTCGACAGGGGACTCGACAGGGGACTCGACAGGGGACTCGACAGGGGACTCGACAGGGGACTCGACAGGGGACTCGACAGGGGACTCGACAGGGGACTGGAGAGGAGACTGGAGAGGTGACCTGAGGAGGGACTAGGGAAGGGACTTGGGAAGGGACTAGAGGGTGAACTCGAGAAGAGACTAGAGAGGGGACCAGAGATGGGACTATGGCAGCTGGGGCAAGAGCTGGGTCTGGAACCATGGCTGCGGGGGCCGGAATTGAAGCCAGAATCATGGCTGTAAGGTCCAGTTCTGGAGCCGGAAACATGGCTGTAAGGTCCGGTTCTGGAGCCGGAAACATGGCTGAATGGGACGGCTCTGGAGCCGGAATTGAAGCCAGAATCATGGCTGTAAGGTCCGGTTCTGAAGCCGGAAACATGGCTGTAAGGTCCGGTTCTGGAGCCGGAAACATGGCTGTAAGGTCCGGTTCTGGAGCCGAATCCATGGCTGCTGGGGCCAGAACTGGGTCTGGAACCATGGCTGTGTGGGCCGGTTCTGTAGCCGGAACCATGGCTGCTCGGGCTGCTAGCCTGGCCTTGCGACGACTCCTCTTAGCAGCCGCCTGAATACTCCGTGGACCTCCATAAGCCAGAGTTCCAGGAACTGGGGAAAAAGCAGAGGAACTCCAGACGGAACACACCGAGACGTATGGTGTCAGGTTGGGAATTGTTAGGCAGGGGGCTAGCATGCCTGGAGCTAGCAGGCCGGGAAAGAGGTTTGACCTCAAAGCTGCCCAAAAAGTATTCCACCCACTCGGGGAGCAACTC